TACACTTCAGTAACATTACAGCACACCCTTATCATGAATATTAGTAGGCAGCTTGCGAAGTCGCTCAGTAACACAATGTCGTTGGCTTAATCAAGATACGTTCGGAATACTGTCAGATATCTCGAACTGCGTCGTTGACTGATGGTCAGCTTTACAACTTTCACTATATAGTACCGGGTACTGTATCGCAGAAATAGTTCCTTTCAAACAGCAGGTTTGCTTCTACCTTGTTCGTCCAATGCCACAAGTAAGGTACATATTTTCTGAAGATAGTATCTACTGTCGTATGTCCACTTTTCTCTATAGGCTTTTTGTATTATTGATCTCCTCGTGTATCCACTCATAGATTGCTGAAGACTAGTGGTTCGGTTGATATGCGAACCCACCATATTTCGACCGAGAGCCTGGGTTTGGTGTTTTACACACTGAACTACCCTGCCTATCTGAAGTCGATGCAGCATTTATCCGAATATGCGACGTTGTGAAAAGTATTGTGCTTTCTGACAACGCAAGGAGAACACTCATCTGAATGAAACCATTCTGTGATTCAGTTGAACCCTGATTATTGCCATTGTCGGAGCAGCAGGTGTTATTGACTCTGTGAGTTTTTCTCCAGTGGCATGTTGCTAGAACGGATACTGCTGCACAGTCGTCTTTAGTGCTCTGAGATGAGGGACCATTTGCGCCATATGGCTGTTGCACAACTGTTGTCATACTTTCGCGATATTTTGTGTATTACTTAACGACAGTACGTTCAACTTTGTTTGCAGGCAAACATATTCATTCCTACCGTGCGCAGTTAAGAATGGTCAATGTTGCGGTCATTGGTTGTGCTCATGGAGAGCTGGACAATATCTTTCACCTGGTCAGGTACATGATGACCCAGAAGAATGTCGCGATCGATCTGTTGATTTGCTGCGGTGATTTTCAGGCGGTTCGTAACCGTCAAGAGATGGAATCGATGGCCGTACCGGCGAAATTTCGTCGCATGACCGATTTCCATCGATATTATGATGGCAGTGCACAAGCGCCAGTGCTGACGATTTTCGTTGGCGGCAACCACGAGGCATCCAGCTATATGGCAGAACTTCCTTACGGTGGATGGGTGGCACCAAATATCTATTACTTAGGCATTGCGGGCGTGGTGAACGTATGCGGACTGAGGATTGCAGGCTTGTCAGGCATATATAAAAGCCATGACTATTACAGAGGTCACTTTGAGGTTCCGCCGTATTCCAATAGCACTGTCAGAAGTGTGTACCATACAAGATCTGAGGATGTGTTTCGACTGAAGTGTATCCGACAGCCGATCGACGTGTTCGTTTCACACGAATGGCCTCTAGGCATCCATCATTTCGGCGATTACTCGACTCTTTTCACTAGGAAGCCGTTTCTACGGGACGATGCAGAAAACGATCAACTGGGCAGTCCACCTGGTCGCGAATTGCTGGAACAGTTGAAACCTAGGTTTTGGTTTGCGGCTCACTTACATGTGAAGTTCGCCGCATTCTGCGATCATGGGGCAGGGCGTTCTACTCGGTTTTTGGCTCTTGACAAATGCCTGCCTCACCGTAAATTCGCCCAGGTTGTCCAGATCCCGACTTCTGGCGCCGAAAACGTTCCGGCAAAATTGATGTATGATCTCGAATGGTTGGCCATCCTTCGTCAGACCGACCATTTGATGAGTGTCGAACAGCGATTCAATTTCATGCCTTGTCCTTCGTCGAAAGACGATTCGAAGTTTTGCGCTACGCAGCAGTTGTGTAACGATGTACGAGCAGCT